TTCGCCGCAGCCCTCATCCCCGCGAGATCAACCTGCACGAGCCAGATATCAACGGGTTGTGCACAACATGCCACACACCCACGGCAAGCCGCACGGAGCAAGTTGAACGGGAGTACGCAGCAATTCAGGAGGCAGAGAGCGCTGAGGCAGAACCTACAGGCATGACACGTGAAGAACTCGCCGTGTCATCTCACCGCATCTTCGGTGAGCCGAACAAGCAATTCGGGCAACAGCAGGTGGACAGACCAAGGCCCTGTGCGGACACCCTCCGCTTCGTTCTAGAAGCCAACACCACCACCCTCGATGAAGACGGAGAACCGCGCCCATACACCCGCGAATACTACCGTCACGAGATTGATCCAACTTGGAAAGACCCTGACGCACCAGAGGAGCTGAGTGTCAAGGAAGAACAGGATAAGGCCCGGGCGGAAAAGAAACAAAAGCTGTATGAGGAGCGCATCGTGGCAGGATGGGATGAACAATCAGCACACGGAGGATGGGGCGACGAGGACACCAAACCAGAACACGGCGAAACCTGGGCATCCGCCACTGGAGCATGGGGAGCCAGCGCCAGCGGCACCGTCACCACGGGAGGATGGGGCACAGCCGAACCCGACGAAGGGGAGCTCACGCAAGAAGAATTGGAGGAAGCCGAACGAGAGATGCAAGCAGAACGCGGAGAAGCAACACCCCGCGTCGTCATTCCTCTCGGACGACCCCCACGCACTCGTGAACCTCCGCGCTCACCTCATCGTTGGAGCGACCCCTGGTCGGAGATTGAGGAGGGGAATATACCGCCAACACCTCCGCGGGACTCACTTGGTCCAATCTCCCGCCCAGATCCGTTCGCGCGCTTCATCGAAGGTACCACGACCCCGCTCACCATCATCCCCGACCGCGAATTTCTCGCCCTTTATCTCACAACGGCACCTGCAGAAGGAGAGACAACGGCAGAAGCAGAAGCAGAGGGGCCAGACAACGAAGCAGAACCAGGAGAAGAAGAAGAACCTCCACTCCGGATACCGCAACTCACGGAAGCAGAAATAGCGGAACAACACGCCCGCTACAAGCGCACCTCCGGCATTCGCGCCGAAGATGACCTTTGGCATTAGCGGATGGGCCACCCCTCGCGCCAGACTCTCGCTAACTGCCTCCGCGCCAAAGTTTTCCCACCAAGAGCACTACTGCGCCCCGACGGAACGGAATTACAGCACACCACCCCTCATCCGACCACCTGCACTGTCTGCCCCACAGCCGCACTCTCTCACACCGCCTATCCCTCCCTGGAGCCAAGCACCAACTGCTACAAGAAGCTGGAGAAGGTGTACAGTGACTTCATCGTGCTCACCTGCGACGGATCCAACGGCGAAAAATACACGCTGACCTTCATCGACGCCTACTCGCGCCACGTGTGGGTCGCCAACGTCGACGCTCGCTCCAAGGCCCCGGAGGTATTCCGCATCTTCCTCGCGCACGCGCAGCGCCAGTCAGGGAGGAAACTGAAGATTTGGCAGAGTGATGGGGCAAAGGAATTTCGCAGCAATGAGCTGGAGAGCGTCCTCACCGATAAGGGGATCAAGCATGAGATTTCTCTCCCCTATGCTCATCAGCAGCAAGGTGTCGCCGAGAGGGTCAATCGCACACTCATGACCAAAGTCCGCGCCATCATGAATCAGTCCGGCCTGCCTAAGAAGTTTTGGCCGTACGCCATGAACCACGCGGTGCGCCTGCACAACCTTCTCTCCACCACTGTCAACAGGGATAACCTGTCCCCTCACATGAAGTGGACCGGCTCAAGGGGAGACCCCTCCATGCTGAGGGTTTGGGGGTGCATGGTGCAATATCGGCCGACCTCGGCAACAATCGGCAAGTTCGTTCATCGTGCGCGCTGGGGAGTTCATCTGGGGCTCAGTCACGAACACAAAGGCTGGCTCATTCTTGACATCGACAGCAAGAAGATCGTTCCTGCGCGTGACATTCTTTTCTACGAGCGACTCACCCTGAAGCAGTGGATCGAGGACGAGCGCCGCAACCAGGCACGTGGCTACGTCAACAGCGGCCGCAGCTTTGCGACTCCAGAAGATGAAGCAGCAGCAGCAGCGCTGGACCGCGACGACACCGACGAACATCCCAGCATCCCGCCTCGCCCGCGCGACGACGACGACGACAGCGACGATGACCCTGCGCCAGGACCATCACGGCACCAAGCAGAGCCAAGCACCGTAGCACCCGGCTATGAGAGCGGAGACGACGACGTGGTGGAAGTCCCCACCAACACAGACACCACCACTGTGTCAGGCCTTCAACTCCTCGGCCTGCACACATCCGTCTCCACCCTTGCACGGGCTGTGGAGCCAAAGAATCCTCGCCAGGCCCTAACCGGTCCTCACGCCAAGGAGTGGCATGCTGCGATGGATGCGGAGCTCAAGGCGCTGGAATCACGTGACACCTGGGTCCTAGTCGATCGTGCAGCAGTGAAGGGGAGGAGGGTGCTTAGCGGGAAGTGGGTTTTTCGCCTGAAAACTAACGCTGACGGCACTATCGAGCGTTTCAAGGCACGCTGGGTCGTACGCGGGTACGATCAGCGCCACGGCATCGACTTCGATCAAACCTTCGCTCCCGTCAGTCGCCACACCTCAGTCCGGATTCTACTCGCCATTGCCGCCGCGAAGCACCTGCCACTGCGACAGATCGACGTGAAGAACGCGTTTTTGTACGCGTTGGTGGATGCCACCATCTTTGCGGAGCAGCCGCACACCTACGGAGAGGGTGATCCCAGGGTCTGTCAACTGAAGAAGTCCCTCTACGGGATCAAGCAGGCGCCTCGTCTCTGGCAGCAGCATCTGCACAAAATCCTTCTCGAAATCGGCTTCAAGCAGCTCCCACACGACCCGGGAATGTATCGCCTTCACTTCAGCGGCGATTACATCCTCCTGACAGTCTACGTCGACGACCTGCTGTACACAGGCACCTGCAACAAACTCCTCGATCAGTTTCAGGAGAACCTGGCGCAGCGCGTGGACATCACCATCAACCTCGAAGTGAAGCAGTTTTTGGGGTTAAACATCACTTACGCGCCAGAAGCAATCCATCTGTCAGCCTCCAAGTACGCAGAGCAGCTGGGGGAACGCTTCAACATCTCTCCTGCACCACTCTCAACTCCCTACCGCAGCCCCAGCACCAACTACAAACCGGACAACAAACCTCTGTCGCCCGCAGGACTCCAAATGTACCAGCAGAAGTTGGGGTGCCTGTTATTCGCCTCTGTCACCTGCCGACCTGACCTTTCGTACATCGCCAGCCAACTGGCGCAGTACTCTCGCAAGCCAGTAGCTGAGAACCAGCTGGACCTGGAGCGCGCCCTGCAGTACTTCATCTCCACTCCTGACATTGGGCTCTCCTACTCCACACTGACTACCACCTCCTTCAACCTCAACGGCTACGTGGACGCAGATCATGCAGCTGATCCTGCAAATCGACGGTCCCGAACCGGCTTCGTTTTTCGCTTGGAACCAACTGGGCCAATCTCCTGGAACTCGCAGAAGCAGGAGCTGGTTGCCCTGTCATCGGCTGAAGCAGAATACATCGCCGCGACAGCAGCAGTCCGCGAAGGCCTGTACCTGCAGGAGTTGCTACAGGAGGCGAAAATTCCAACCTCGCCTACCTTTCGCCTTCACTGCGACAATCAGAGTGCCATCAGGATCGCGAACAAGCCAGGTTTCGTGAACCGCACGGAGCACATCGCGCTTCGGTACTTTTTCGTCAAGGACGAAATCGACCAAGGCAAAGTTGACCTCGCCTACTGCCCGACCACAGAGATGGCAGCAGACTTCCTTACCAAGCGCCTGCCACGTCAGCAGTACAAGCACTGCTCTGATCTCACCGGAGTAGCCAAGCGAGTCAGCTCCACTCGCGTCCAGGAATGAAGGGGAGTGTTACGATATGAAGTTTTATGAGAAGGCATTCCTGTATGCTGCAGGAGCCGACTCTACCGAGTACGAAGTCGAGGAGTCAGAAGAGACGAAGCGACGCAGCAACCGTCTGACCAAGACCGATGCAGGCAGAAACATTTGAAGTGAAAAGAGCGGGAACAGGTTTGAAACGGGTTCCCGCGCCGCACGGTTTGAATTCGGTTGTAATAAGGGAATGTACCCCTTAGAGTACATGGCTAGTTTAGGACTTTTCGTATTCCCTTGTACTCTTATATAAACTCGATGTATGCATGCTATTATCAACTCAGTCATTTACATTCACTCTGACATGAGATTCAACCTTCCGCTGCAACACTACTCTGCGGTCAACCCTGAGCGATCCTTCGCTAAGTCCCTTTTGGGATTGTAACATCTTTTTTGGGCGGGAGTTTCATCTGTGACCATTCGCGCTTTTTTTTACCAGTTGATAGTGACTGATTCCGTGAAACGTTTTATCAGTCGCGTGAAAACACCCTTTGCAGTGACCGTACCCTTTATTTTTTTACCAAAAATGTTACGAATGACATATTTTCCCTTTTTGCGTCGTCAGGTGCATTTCCACACCTTGGGGTGGTGCACGTTCGTTTGCTGGCGCTGACATGTACGACAAGCCCTTTCTCACGAGAGTCACATTCCCAACCTGCCCCCAACCTGAAACTGGTTACCCATATTACCCCTATACGTTGCCGCCTCTTCGACTAGTCCGCTCACCCCACCCCGAATATTGATTTTGCGAGCGAACATGTAACGGCATGACCAGGAATCATGCGGCCGAGCTCAGTACTCAGTGTGTGATGCCATAGGACGACAGTAGGGCGATAGTCTGCTCGCGCCATCACATCTGGTGAAACGATCCTTCGCCCCGTACTCACTCATTGCTCCGCGTCTCCCGGGGTCGAGTCTTGCGTCCGGGACCAGTGGACAACACAGCCCATCTACACCAGTCGTCTAGGCCGATTGTGAACGGCTCACACGCCGGAATCCCGTCTCTACAACGTCCCTCCCTTTTCCCCATCCTCCCCTCTCCGCATGCTGCCTCACCGCGTGCGCGTAAGGGACTTCGCGGCGGCGCGCTCGTCGGAGTTCGCCGCCCTCTACGCCGCGCTCGACCGCGCGCGCGCGCCAACGGTCGGCGCTGCCGCCAGTGCGCCTGGGGCCGACCCACGCGGGGAGCGGAACGGCCGAGCGGATAGTGCGGCGGAAGATGCGGCGGACGGCGGCGGAGGAGGCGAGGGGCGTCGTGTGGTGGGGCGGCGCGAGTGGGGCGCGCGGCGGCGGCGCGATCGAGTGGCCGTGAGGCACGGCACGCCGCGGCACCTGATCCGACGGACCAGCAGCTTCGTGCGGCGCGGGGGAGCCAGAAATAGCGGCGCGGGCGGAACGAGGCGGACGGGCAGTGCTCGTGGGGGACGCGGAGGGCGCGGAGGCTTGGCGCGGGTGGTGGCGGGGCAGGTCCGCCGAAAGCGCGTCAAGGTGGCGGCGCTGGAGGGCCATGTGGACAGGGGGACGCGGGGCGCGGGGGAGGATAAGGGCGGGGAGGCGCGGAGTGGTGCGGGAGAGTGGGAGGAAGAGACGTCGGAGAAGGAAGGGGAGGCGGAGGAGGAAGGGGAGGCGTGCAGGCGAGTGCGCCGATGGGCGCAGGCGAAGCGATTGAAGCAGGGAGTGGGGGGAGGGCGGGCGTGGAACGAGGGGGCGGGGCATGGGGGGCCGAGGCGGGTGGCGAGTCACATGTGGCATGCGAAGCGATTCCACATGGCGGACACGTGGGGTTACAGGCTGGCAGCACGGCTGCATGGCAGGTGCGAGTGCATGGCAGGTGCGAGTGCATGGCAGGTGCGAGTGCATGGTGAGGCAGCAGAGAGCAAACGGCACGGCCTCTGCTCACTCGCACCACTGCTCCATCCCTCGTCCCTTCCCCTCGCCACCCACTTTCGTGTTCTCCCCCTCCCGCCGCACACCCCTCACCACTGCGCGTGCAGGGGCCGTGGCAGCCGCGCGGTGGTGGAGGCGGCAGGCAGGGCGGCCGTGCTGCACGACGCGTCGTACCACTCCGCCATCCAGCTCATTGCCGCGCAGGTGGGCTGCCCTGTGTGTCTCTTGCCGCGCTCCTGGTCACTGCATACTTGTAGCACAGCAGGTGGGCGAGGGCAGGGGACAGCGCCTAGTTGCAACACACCGCCTCCATGCCTCACTCTTTTTCCCCCCTCCTCCCTCCCCTCCTCCTTGCTGCTTCGATCACCCTCTTGCCGTTATGTCTTGATGCCTCTGCCTCTTTGCTTCCATCCAACTCGTTTCTCTTTTACCCCCCCCACCTTTCCAGTCCTCATCCGTCCATATGCCCCTGTCTCTCACCTCCATGTCCATTGTCCGATGCCCTTGTTTCCCATTCTCGTGATCCGCCTATCCCTCTCCCCACCCACTCTCCCTCCGTCCGCCCCTTCCTCTCCCACACCCCCTCGCATCTATCCAACACCACCACCACTCCTCCCCCCTCCCCCCCCAGGCGGACATATGCGCTCTGCTCGCGCGCTGCACTCCCCCGGGTGCGCTTCCCCTCGCCCCTCGCCTTCCGCCTTCCACCCCTCACACGCCGCATGCTGCGTGCACAGGCAGGGGTGCTGGGGCGAGGGGCGAGGCAGCATGGGGGGAGGCGGCAGAGGGGGAGGCATGGAGGCGGGGAGTGTTGGAGCTGAGAGCCATGGTGAGAGAGTGGAGCACGTGTGGTGGGAGGGGCAGCTGTGGCGAGAGTGACACTGCCATGACGGCTCTCTCTGCTGCTGTCATTGTATTGCTGTGCTCGCTTCTGCGTGTTCCACCTTGCGATTTGTCTGTGCCGTTGACGCCACAACTGGCAGGGCAGCATGCCTCATCCTCCACCTGCCAACCGTCCAAGCGTCACCATCATCCTCCCGCATCCCACACCTCCTCCCTCCTCCACAGCCTCACCCCTCCCCCCATTTCCCCTGCCTCCCACCTCCACTGTCTCCCCTGCCCCCCCATGCGATCAGCTCTTCTCCTCCGCGAGTGATGCCAGCAGCAGCGACGTGATTGGTCCGGCCAGTTTCATGTGGAAGCCAGTGGCATGCGCAGGCGGGGCGGCTGTGCAAGGCAGTGGTAGTGGTGATGCACCCTTTGCTTCTGCTGTTGGTGCTGCCAGCAGTGGGTGTGGTGGGAGAGAGGGAGGCGGTGGGGAGGTGAAGGGGATGGAGGAGGGGATGGGGTGGAAGCAGCGGAGGAGGGAGAGGCAGGGGCGGCGCAAGCAGGAGCAGCGGCGGCAGAGGTGCGTGTGGGTGTGGGTGCATGCACTCATGCTGCCCGACGCCCTGGCCGCCCTCACAGCCGCCAGTCAGCACATGGGGTTGAACCGCTCTCCACCCATGCCGGGGCAGGAGAGCAGCAGCGAGCAGAAAGGGTGGAGGCGGAGGCGGGTGAGTGTGGAGAGTCGTGAGGGCGAGCTGTGTCGGCTGGAGGTGGCGGGGCGAGCAGCCCTCCCCCTGCTGCTCTCCGTGCTGCGCCCCTCCGCTCCTTTCAACACCCTCTCTCCCGCGCTGTTGCCGTCACCCTTCCCAGCTGCTGCCGCCCCTGCTGCCACTGCCTCCCCTGCTGCCCCCACCTCTGCTTCGCCTGCTGGCCGCTCTGCCTCGTCCGCTGCAGCATCAGCGCGCCTGCAGCAGTCAGAAGCGTCCTGGAAGGTGCTGGCAGAGCAGGGGGCGCACCTTCCTGGTGGGGCCGTGGTGGGGTTGAGAGCGGTGGACGCGCGGCTGCTGGCAGGCAGGGGGAGGGAGGCTGGTGGGGTAGCTGGTGGGGCGCCTGGAGGGCGGATAGGCTCTTCTCGTGGACAGCACACTGGGAGTGCTGATGTGTCACACAAGGGTGGTCTGTGTTTCGATTGGTGGAGAGATGTGGCAGCATCGGTGGACGGGGCGTCCATTGCCGCTGCTCCCACTCTGTGGATTCCGAGAGAGCAGCGCAGGGCAACACGCTGCCGGGGGGAGCATGGGGCACGCAGGGGGGAGCATGGGGCACGCAGGGGGGGGGGCAATGAGTCACAAATGGAAATGCATGACGCATGGGAGGCGGACGAGGAGGCGAGGCTGACAATGGGTGATAGTGGGGAGGAGAGGGCGGAGAGGCGTGAAGGTGTGGGTGGGCAGCGAGGAGGAGAGGTGAGAGGCACAGCAGCCGCTGTGACCAGCACCACCCCTCTCCCCAACTCCGCCCCTCCCCCCCAGCGCCTGCTGGATGCGTGGCGCCGCGCGCTCAAGCTGCAGGGGCTGATGGGGGCGCGGGAGGCACAGCGCATGGGGGAGAGCGTGGCGGGGCAGTGGGTGCAGTGGCAGGCGGGCAGAGGGGAGGGGGGGAGTGGTGGGGAGGGGCGGGGAGGAGGAGATGGGGCGTGTGGAGGAGAGGTGCAGGGAGGAGTGGTGTGTGGAGAGCAGGCAGGGTGTGATGTGGTGGTGGTGAAGCATGGGTGCGGTGCCATGCAGCGTGCTGCCGTGACCAGGTGAGGTGAGGCGCGCACCTGGTGCTGCGGGGTGATCAGTGAGGAAAGGGATAGTGAGACGAATCGCAGGATGGGGTAGAAAGATGGGGAGGGGAAGGTGAGGGTGGGCAGGAGATGTACAGTCGTGGGACTTGGGAAGCATGTGGTGGTGTGTGCTGTGTGCTTCTTCATCCCCCCTGTCCAACCTCCACGCCCTCTCCCCTCCCCTCTCTCGCTTTCCCCCCTTGACTCTCTCGCATCACAGGTGGTCGGTCATCCTGCCATCTGATTGGCTGCAGGCGTGCTGGCACCCGTTCATCCTGCACGGTGCACATGCCATCGGGCTAGCCGAGAGGCACACGCTCTTCACAGCGGTGAGTCGCTCTTCACAGCGGTGAGTCGCTCTTCACAGCGGTAAAGTCACCTGTTCTCCTTTATATGTTCCAACCAATACATGTTTCTCCCGTTCTCTGCCTCTCTTCCCCCTGTAACTGCCCTTTAATCCCCCTCTTATCCCCCTGATCCCCTTCTAATCGCCCTCCTCTCTTGCACAGGCGGGTCTGCCTCTCTTTCCTTACGACTACCCTGAGACGTTCGGCTACAGGTGCCACGTGGCAGCCTCCTATTTGATGCAGCGCGCCCGCTACGACCGCACACCACCCTCCAAGCGCCCTCTGTGCCCCCCCCTGCCGCCTGCTTGGGCTGCTGCTTCTGGCGTCTGGGGAGGGGCGGGGGAAGGGGGAGAGAGAGGGAGAGACGGGGGGGAAGGGGGAGAAGGGGGGGGAGGGGAGGCAGAGGCGGACGTGGACTTGAGGGTGGCGCGCTGCTCTGCTCACGCGCTCTCCGCCTTGCTGCCTGCTGCTCTGCGCCACGGCTCTCGTGGTGCTGCTCACGGGGATGTTGACGGTGAGGGGGCGGGCGGCAGGGGAGTATGGGTGGATGGGCGTGTCACAGACCAGGGCGAGAACGGGCACGCAGGGCAGGCAGGGCAGGTGGGCAGTGGAGGAGATGGGTGGAAGCTGGGAGGGGTGGGCGGGGCGCATGGCTCACAGGTGGGCGGGGCGCATGGCTCACGGGTGGGCGGGGCGCATGGCTCACGGGTGAGTGTGGAGTGGAGGCGAGTGGGGGAGAGGGAGAGAGGGTCGACCACATGGGAGGAGAGAGGGGCTGATGCTGCTGCTGGTGGGGCATGTGTGGCGGATGGGCATGGAGGGGGGAGTGTGGGCATGGCAATGGATGTGGACTCGCCTGCTGCATGCCCACCACTGCCCCTCCATGGGCTCTCAAGCACCGCAGCGCCACCACGGCAGCATGAGCAGCAGGGGGCGTGCATGGTGGCGGTGCGAGTGGTGCCGGCGGGCAGAGGGGCAGCGCGGGCAGCAGCAGAGCTGTGTGTGCCGTCGCCTCAAGACTTCCATCGCTTCTGCTCGCGACGCAATGGGGCTGCTGTGCATGGGTGGGTCCTTCCTTGCAAAGCTGCCACGTGTGCTTGTCCATGCATGATTAGAAATGTGCATGGGTGCACCATGTGCGTGCCCTCTGTGCCACTCCAATCTTCTCCTCTGTGCCACTCCAATCTTCTCCTCTGTGCCACTCCAATCTTCTCCTCTGTGCCACTCCAATCTTCTCCTCTGTGCCACTCCAATCTTCTCCTCTGTGCCACTCCAATCTTCTCCTCTGTGCCACTCCAATCTTCTCCTCTGTGCCACTCCAGTCTTCTCCTCTGTGCCACTCCAATCTTCTCCTCTGTGCCACTCCAATCTTCTCCTCTGTGCCACTCCAATCTTCTCCTCTGTGCCACTCCAGTCTTCTCCTCTGTGCCACTCCAATCTTCTCCTCTGTGCCACTCCAATCTTCTCCTCTGTGCCACTCCAATCTTCTCCTCTGTGCCACTCCAATCTTCTCCTCTGTGCCACTCCAATCTTCTCCTCTGTGCCACTCCAATCTTCTCCTCTGTGCCACTCCAATCTTCTCCTCTGTGCCACTCCAATCTTCTCCTCTGTGCCACTCCAATCTTCTCCTCTGTGCCACTCCAATCTTCTCCTCTGTGCCACTCCAATCTTCTCCTCTGTGCCACTCCAATCTTCTCCTCTGTGCCACTCCAATCTTCTCCTCTGTGCCACTCCAATCTTCTCCTCTGTGCCACTCCAATCTTCTCCTCTGTGCCACTCCAATCTTCTCCTCTGTGCCACTCCAATCTTCTCCTCTGTGCCACTCCAATCTTCTCCTCTGTGCCACTCCAATCTTCTCCTCTGTGCCACTCCAGTCTTCTCCTCTGTGCCACTCCAATCTTCTCCTCTGTGCCACTCCAATCTTCTCCTCTGTGCCACTCCAATCTTCTCCTCTGTGCCACTCCAATCTTCTCCTCTGTGCCACTCCAGTCTTCTCCTCTGTGCCACTCCAATCTTCTCCTCTGTGCCACTCCAATCTTCTCCTCTGTGCCACTCCAATCTTCTCCTCTGTGCCACTCCAATCTTCTCCTCTGTGCCACTCCAATCTTCTCCTCTGTGCCACTCCAATCTTCTCCTCTGTGCCACTCCAGTCTTCTCCTCTGTGCCACTCCAATCTTCTCCTCTGTGCCACTCCAATCTTCTCCTCTGTGCCACTCCAATCTTCTCCTCTGTGCCACTCCAATCTTCTCCTCTGTGCCACTCCAGTCTTCTCCTCTGTGCCACTCCAATCTTCTCCTCTGTGCCACTCCAATCTTCTCCTCTGTGCCACTCCAATCTTCTCCTCTGTGCCACTCCAATCTTCTCCTCTGTGCCACTCCAATCTTCTCCTCTGTGCCACTCCAATCTTCTCCTCTGTGCCACTCCAATCTTCTCCTCTGTGCCACTCCAATCTTCTCCTCTGTGCCACTCCAATCTTCTCCTCTGTGCCACTCCAATCTTCTCCTCTGTGCCACTCCAATCTTCTCCTCTGTGCCACTCCAATCTTCTCCTCTGTGCCACTCCAATCTTCTCCTCTGTGCCACTCCAGTCTTCTCCTCTGTGCCACTCCAATCTTCTCCTCTGTGCCACTCCAATCTTCTCCTCTGTGCCACTCCAATCTTCTCCTCTGTGCCACTCCAATCTTCTCCTCTGTGCCACTCCAATCTTCTCCTCTGTGCCACTCCAATCTTCTCCTCTGTGCCACTCCAATCTTCTCCTCTGTGCCACTCCAATCTTCTCCTCTGTGCCACTCCAATCTTCTCCTCTGTGCCACTCCAATCTTCTCCTCTGTGCCACTCCAATCTTCTCCTCTGTGCCACTCCAATCTTCTCCTCTGTGCCACTCCAATCTTCTCCTCTGTGCCACTCCAATCTTCTCCTCTGTGCCACTCCAATCTTCTCCTCTGTGCCACTCCAATCTTCTCCTCTGTGCCACTCCAGTCTTCTCCTCTGTGCCACTCCAATCTTCTCCTCTGTGCCACTCCAATCTTCTCCTCTGTGCCACTCCAATCTTCTCCTCTGTGCCACTCCAATCTTCTCCTCTGTGCCACTCCAGTCTTCTCCTCTGTGCCACTCCAATCTTCTCCTCTGTGCCACTCCAATCTTCTCCTCTGTGCCACTCCAATCTTCTCCTCTGTGCCACTCCAGACTTCTCCTCTGTGCCACTCCAGTCTTCTCCTCTGTGCCACTCCAATCTTCTCCTCTGTGCCACTCCAATCTTCTCCTCTGTGCCACTCCAATCTTCTCCTCTGTGCCACTCCAGTCTTCTCCTCTGTGCCACTCCAATCTTCTCCTCTGTGCCACTCCAATCTTCTCCTCTGTGCCACTCCAGTCTTCTCCTCTGTGCCACTCCAATCTTCTCCTCTGTGCCACTCCAATCTTCTCCTCTGTGCCACTCCAATCTTCTCCTCTGTGCCACTCCAATCTTCTCCTCTGTGCCACTCCAGTCTTCTCCTCTGTGCCACTCCAATCTTCTCCTCTGTGCCACTCCAATCTTCTCCTCTGTGCCACTCCAATCTTCTCCTCTGTGCCACTCCAATCTTCTCCTCTGTGCCACTCCAATCTTCTCCTCTGTGCCACTCCAATCTTCTCCTCTGTGCCACTCCAGTCTTCTCCTCTGTGCCACTCCAATCTTCTCCTCTGTGCCACTCCAATCTTCTCCTCTGTGCCACTCCAATCTTCTCCTCTGTGCCACTCCAATCTTCTCCTCTGTGCCACTCCAATCTTCTCCTCTGTGCCACTCCAATCTTCTCCTCTGTGCCACTCCAATCTTCTCCTCTGTGCCACTCCAATCTTCTCCTCTGTGCCACTCCAATCTTCTCCTCTGTGCCACTCCAATCTTCTCCTCTGTGCCACTCCAATCTTCTCCTCTGTGCCACTCCAATCTTCTCCTCTGTGCCACTCCAATCTTCTCCTCTGTGCCACTCCAATCTTCTCCTCTGTGCCACTCCAATCTTCTCCTCTGTGCCACTCCAATCTTCTCCTCTGTGCCACTCCAGTCTTCTCCTCTGTGCCACTCCAATCTTCTCCTCTGTGCCACTCCAATCTTCTCCTCTGTGCCACTCCAATCTTCTCCTCTGTGCCACTCCAATCTTCTCCTCTGTGCCACTCCAGTCTTCTCCACTGTGCCACTCCAATCTTCTCCTCTGTGCCACTCCAATCTTCTCCTCTGTGCCACTCCAATCTTCTCCTCTGTGCCACTCCAGACTTCTCCTCTGTGCCACTCCAGTCTTCTCCTCTGTGCCACTCCAATCTTCTCCTCTGTGCCACTCCAATCTTCTCCTCTGTGCCACTCCAATCTTCTCCTCTGTGCCACTCCAGTCTTCTCCTCTGTGCCACTCCAATCTTCTCCTCTGTGCCACTCCAATCTTCTCCTCTGTGCCACTCCAATCTTCTCCTCTGTGCCACTCCAATCTTCTCCTCTGTGCCACTCCAATCTTCTCCTCTGTGCCACTCCAATCTTCTCCTCTGTGCCACTCCAGTCTTCTCCTCTGTGCCACTCCAATCTTCTCCTCTGTGCCACTCCAATCTTCTCCTCTGTGCCACTCCAATCTTCTCCTCTGTGCCACTCCAGTCTTCTCCTCTGTGCCACTCCAATCTTCTCCTCTGTGCCACTCCAATCTTCTCCTCTGTGCCACTCCAATCTTCTCCTCTGTGCCACTCCAATCTTCTCCTCTGTGCCACTCCAATCTTCTCCTCTGTGCCACTCCAATCTTCTCCTCTGTGCCACTCCAATCTTCTCCTCTGTGCCACTCCAATCTTCTCCTCTGTGCCACTCCAATCTTCTCCTCTGTGCCACTCCAATCTTCTCCTCTGTGCCACTCCAATCTTCTCCTCTGTGCCACTCCAGTCTTCTCCTCTGTGCCACTCCAATCTTCTCCTCTGTGCCACTCCAATCTTCTCCTCTGTGCCACTCCAGTCTTCTCCTCTGTGCCACTCCAATCTTCTCCTCTGTGCCACTCCAATCTTCTCCTCTGTGCCACTCCAGTCTTCTCCTCGGTGCCACTCCAATCTTCTCCTCTGTGCCACTCCAATCTTCTCCTCTGTGCCACTCCAATCTTCTCCTCTGTGCCACTCCAATCTTCTCCTCTGTGCCACTCCAATCTTCTCCTCTGTGCCACTCCAATCTTCTCCTCTGTGCCACTCCAATCTTCTCCTCTGTGCCACTCCAATCTTCTCCTCTGTGCCACTCCAATCTTCTCCTCTGTGCCACTCCAATCTTCTCCTCTGTGCCACTCCAATCTTCTCCTCTGTGCCACTCCAATCTTCTCCTCTGTGCCACTCCAATCTTCTCCTCTGTGCCACTCCAATCTTCTCCTCTGTGCCACTCCAATCTTCTCCTCTGTGCCACTCCAATCTTCTCCTCTGTGCCACTCCAATCTTCTCCTCTGTGCCACTCCAGTCTTCTCCTCTGTGCCACTCCAATCTTCTCCTCTGTGCCACTCCAATCTTCTCCTCTGTGCCACTCCAATCTTCTCCTCTGTGCCACTCCAATCTTCTCCTCTGTGCCACTCCAATCTTCTCCTCTGTGCCACTCCAATCTTCTCCTCTGTGCCACTCCAATCTTCTCCTCTGTGCCACTCCAATCTTCTCCTCTGTGCCACTCCAATCTTCTCCTCTGTGCCACTCCAGTCTTCTCCTCTGTGCCACTCCAATCTTCTCCTCTGTGCCACTCCAATCTTCTCCTCTGTGCCACTCCAATCTTCTCCTCTGTGCCACTCCAATCTTCTCCTCTGTGCCACTCCAATCTTCTCCTCTGTGCCACTCCAATCTTCTCCTCTGTGCCACTCCAATCTTCTCCTCTGTGCCACTCCAATCTTCTCCTCTGTGCCACTCCAATCTTCTCCTCTGTGCCACTCCAATCTTCTCCTCTGTGCCACTCCAATCTTCTCCTCTGTGCCACTCCAATCTTCTCCTCTGTGCCACTCCAATCTTCTCCTCTGTGCCACTCCAATCTTCTCCTCTGTGCCACTCCAATCTTCTCCTCTGTGCCACTCCAGTCTTCTCCTCTGTGCCACTCCAATCTTCTCCTCTGTGCCACTCCAATCTTCTCCTCTGTGCCACTCCAATCTTCTCCTCTGTGCCACTCCAATCTTCTCCTCTGTGCCACTCCAGTCTTCTCCTCTGTGCCACTCCAATCTTCTCCTCTGTGCCACTCCAATCTTCTCCTCTGTGCCACTCCAATCTTCTCCTCTGTGCCACTCCAGACTTCTCCTCTGTGCCACTCCAGTCTTCTCCTCTGTGCCACTCCAATCTTCTCCTCTGTGCCACTCCAATCTTCTCCTCTGTGCCACTCCAATCTTCTCCTCTGTGCCACTCCAGTCTTCTCCTCTGTGCCACTCCAATCTTCTCCTCTGTGCCACTCCAATCTTCTCCTCTGTGCCACTCCAGTCTTCTCCTCTGTGCCACTCCAATCTTCTCCTCTGTGCCACTCCAATCTTCTCCTCTGTGCCACTCCAATCTTCTCCTCTGTGCCACTCCAATCTTCTCCTCTGTGCCACTCCAGTCTTCTCCTCTGTGCCACTCCAATCTTCTCCTCTGTGCCACTCCAATCTTCTCCTCTGTGCCACTCCAATCTTCTCCTCTGTGCCACTCCAATCTTCTCCTCTGTGCCACTCCAATCTTCTCCTCTGTGCCACTCCAATCTTCTCCTCTGTGCCACTCCAGTCTTCTCCTCTGTGCCACTCCAATCTTCTCCTCTGTGCCACTCCAATCTTCTCCTCTGTGCCACTCCAATCTTCTCCTCTGTGCCACTCCAATCTTCTCCTCTGTGCCACTCCAATCTTCTCCTCTGTGCCACTCCAATCTTCTCCTCTGTGCCACTCCAATCTTCTCCTCTGTGCCACTCCAATCTTCTCCTCTGTGCCACTCCAATCTTCTCCTCTGTGCCACTCCAATCTTCTCCTCTGTGCCACTCCAATCTTCTCCTCTGTGCCACTCCAATCTTCTCCTCTGTGCCACTCCAATCTTCTCCTCTGTGCCACTCCAATCTTCTCCTCTGTGCCACTCCAATCTTCTCCTCTGTGCCACTCCAGTCTTCTCCTCTGTGCCACTCCAATCTTCTCCTCTGTGCCACTCCAATCTTCTCCTCTGTGCCACTCCAATCTTCTCCTCTGTGCCACTCCAATCTTCTCCTCTGTGCCACTCCAGTCTTCTCCACTGTGCCACTCCAATCTTCTCCTCTGTGCCACTCCAATCTTCTCCTCTGTGCCACTCCAATCTTCTCCTCTGTGCCACTCCAGACTTCTCCTCTGTGCCACTCCAGTCTTCTCCTCTGTGCCACTCCAATCTTCTCCTCTGTGCCACTCCAATCTTCTCCTCTGTGCCACTCCAATCTTCTCCTCTGTGCCACTCCAGTCTTCTCCTCTGTGCCACTCCAATCTTCTCCTCTGTGCCACTCCAATCTTCTCCTCTGTGCCACTCCAATCTTCTCCTCTGTGCCACTCCAATCTTCTCCTCTGTGCCACTCCAATCTTCTCCTCTGTGCCACTCCAATCTTCTCCTCTGTGCCACTCCAGTCTTCTCCTCTGTGCCACTCCAATCTTCTCCTCTGTGCCACTCCAATCTTCTCCTCTGTGCCACTCCAATCTTCTCCTCTGTGCCACTCCAGTCTTCTCCTCTGTGCCACTCCAATCTTCTCCTCTGTGCCACTCCAATCTTCTCCTCTGTGCCACTCCAATCTTCTCCTCTGTGCCACTCCAATCTTCTCCTCTGTGCAACTCCAATCTTCTCCTCTGTGCCACTCCAATCTTCTCCTCTGTGCCACTCCAATCTTCTCCTCTGTGCCACTCCAATCTTCTCCTCTGTGCCACTCCAATCTTCTCCTCTGTGCCACTCCAATCTTCTCCTCTGTGCCACTCCAATCTTCTCCTCTGTGCCACTCCAGTCTTCTCCTCTGTGCCACTCCAATCTTCTCCTCTGTGCCACTCCAATCTTCTCCTCTGTGCCACTCCAGTCTTCTCCTCTGTGCCACTCCAATCTTCTCCTCTGTGCCACTCCAATCTTCTCCTCTGTGCCACTCCAGTCTTCTCCTCTGTGCCACTCCAATCTTCTCCTCTGTGCCACTCCAATCTTCTCCTCTGTGCCACTCCAATCTTCTCCTCTGTGCCACTCCAATCTTCTCCTCTGTGCCACTCCAATCTTCTCCTCTGTGCCACTCCAATCTTCTCCTCTGTGCCACTCCAATCTTCTCCTCTGTGCCACTCCAATCTTCTCCTCTGTGCCACTCCAATCTTCTCCTCTGTGCCACTCCAATCTTCTCCTCTGTGCCACTCCAATCTTCTCCTCTGTGCCACTCCAATCTTCTCCTCTGTGCCACTCCAATCTTCTCCTCTGTGCCACTCCAGTCTTCTCCTCTGTGCCACTCCAGTCTTCTCCTCTGTGCCACTCCAGTCTTCTCCTCTGTGCCACTCCAATCTTCTCCTCTGTGCCACTCCAATCTTCTCCTCTGTGCCACTCCAGTCTTCTCCTCTGTGCCACTCCAATCTTCTCCTCTGTGCCACTCCAATCTTCTCCTCTGTGCCACTCCAATCTTCTCCTCTGTGCCACTCCAATCTTCTCCTCTGTGCCACTCCAATCTTCTCCTCTGTGCCACTCCAATCTTCTCCTCTGTGCCACTCCAATCTTCTCCTCTGTGCCACTCCAATCTTCTCCTCTGTGCCACTCCAATCTTCTCCTCTGTGCCACTCCAATCTTCTCCTCTGTGCCACTCCAATCTTCTCCTCTGTGCCACTCCAATCTTCTCCTCTGTGCCACTCCAATCTTCTCCTCTGTGCCACTCCAATCTTCTCCTCTGTGCCACTCCAATCTTCTCCTCTGTGCCACTCCAGACTTCTCCTCTGTGCCACTCCAGTCTTCTCCTCTGTGCCACTCCAATCTTCTCCTCTGTGCCACTCCAGTCTTCTCCTCTGTGCCACTCCAATCTTCTCCTCTGTGCCACTCCAATCTTCTCCTCTGTGCCACTCCAATCTTCTCCTCTGTGCCACTCCAATCTTCTCCTCTGTGCCACTCCAGTCTTCTCCTCTGTGCCACTCCAATCTTCTCCTCTGTGCCACTCCAATCTTCTCCTCTGTGCCACTCCAATCTTCTCCTCTGTGCCACTCCAATCTTCTCCTCTGTGCCACTCCAGTCTTCTCCTCTGTGCCACTCCAATCTTCTCCTCTGTGCCACTCCAATCTTCTCCTCTGTGCCACTCCAATCTTCTCCTCTGTGCCACTCCAATCTTCTCCTCTGTGCCACTCCAATCTTCTCCTCTGTGCCACTCCAATCTTCTCCTCTGTGCCACTCCAATCTTCTCCTCTGTGCCACTCCAATCTTCTCCTCTGTGCCACTCCAATCTTCTCCTCTGTGCCACTCCAATCTTCTCCTCTGTGCCACTCCAATCTTCTCCTCTGTGCCACTCCAATCTTCTCCTCTGTGCCACTCCAGTCTTCTCCTCTGTGCCACTCCAATCTTCTCCTCTGTGCCACTCCAATCTTCTCCTCTGTGCCACTCCAATCTTCTCCTCTGTGCCACTCCAACCTTCTCCTCTGTGCCACTCCAGTCTTCTCCTCTGTGCCACTCCAATCTTCTCCTCTGTGCCACTCCAATCTTCTCCTCTGTGCCACTCCAATCTTCTCCTCTGTGCCACTCCAATCTTCTCCTCTGTGCCACTCCAGTCTTCTCCTCTGTGCCACTCCAATCTTCTCCTCTGTGCCACTCCAATCTTCTCCTCTGTGCCACTCCAATCTTCTCCTCTGTGCCACTCCAATCTTCTCCTCTGTGCCACTCCAATCTTCTCCTCTGTGCCACTCCAATCTTCTCCTCTGTGCCACTCCAATCTTCTCCTCTGTGCCACTCCAATCTTCTCCTCTGTGCCACTCCAATCTTCTCCTCTGTGCCACTCCAATCTTCTCCTCTGTGCCACTCCAATCTTCTCCTCTGTGCCACTCCAATCTTCTCCTCTGTGCCACTCCAATCTTCTCCTCTGTGCCACTCCAATCTTCTCCTCTGTGCCACTCCAATCTTCTCCTCTGTGCCACTCCAATCTTCTCCTCTGTGCCACTCCAATCTTCTCCTCTGTGCCACTCCAATCTTCTCCTCTGTGCCACTCCAATCTTCTCCTCTGTGCCACTCCAGTCTTCTCCTCTGTGCCACTCCAATCTTCTCCTCTGTGCCACTCCAATCTTCTCCTCTGTGCCACTCCAATCTTCTCCTCTGTGCCACTCCAATCTTCTCCTCTGTGCCACTCCAGTCTTCTCCTCTGTGCCACTCCAATCTTCTCCTCTGTGCCACTCCAATCTTCTCCTCTGTGCCACTCCAATCTTCTCCTCTGTGCCACTCCAGTCTTCTCCTCTGTGCCACTCCAATCTTCTCCTCTGTGCCACTCCAATCTTCTCCTCTGTGCCACTCCAATCTTCTCCTCTGTGCCACTCCAATCTTCTCCTCTGTGCCACTCCAATCTTCTCCTCTGTGCCACTCCAATCTTCTCCTCTGTGCCACTCCAGTCTTCTCCTCAGTGCCACTCCAATCTTCTCCTCTGTGCCACTCCAATCTTCTCCTCTGTGCCACTCCAATCTTCTCCTCTGTGCCACTCCAATCTTCTCCTCTGTGCCACTCCAGTCTTCTCCTCTGTGCCACTCCAATCTTCTCCTCTGTCTTCCTCGGACCTGCCTTGAGCGTTCACTCACCTCGTGCCACTCCCCTGCGCCTAGGCCCAACTCTCGCTCTTGCCCTTCCCCTCCAACTACCCCCTCTGCCCGTCTGCCCTGGCAGCGCCCGTGCCTCTGCCTGGCGTGGAGTTGTCCTCCCTCCCTCTCTCCTCCGCACCAGGCTCAGCTCCGTACCTGGTGCCGTGGTTCGGAAGACGAAGCGGCAGGTGCAGAAGCAGAAGCAGCGGGAGAGGAGGCGAGGCACGGAGGAACAGCAATATGTGGCGCGCTTGAGGGGAAGGGAGGGGCTGCAGAGGGGGGGGGGCGAGGGAGCAAGGGGAGGGGGTGAATGGCGTGGGGGGACAGGGCGCGGGGTGCGGGAAGTGATTGGGTTTGTGACGAGTGCGGCACCGCGAGGCAGGTGAGGCCATGTGCACAGGGGGCGCATTGCTTGAGGGAAGGTCGGTGTATTGAGGGGGGTGGGGGGAGTGTGGGGGTGGAGGGAGTAGAGGGAGGGGTTGGGCAAGGGAGGGTAGCAGCGGAGTGTGAATGATGGTGACAACTGGGTCGAGGTTAATCAGATGACTTGTTTGGGGAGGGAAGGTTGGCAAGAGCGTAATTACTGAGTTTGCCCTTTCACCCTTTCCTCTCCATCTACCTCCCAACGCATCCCCCAACCCCCATTGCATGGCGCTGAGCAGCAAGAGCCGAGTGTCGCTGGGGTGTGTGCGAGCATCAGCCTTGCACGCAGCTGCGTGCCGCCAGTACTCCTCCACCATCCCCTCCCTCTCCACCACCTCGCCCTCTGCCGCGCTTCTTCCTTCCCTGCGAGTGCTGCTGCTCATGCGTTGCCCCGCCTCCTCTGCCTTCCGCCCCGTGCTCGTCTCACTGGCTGCGGAGGACTCGGGACACCTGGCAAGCACCGGTTGGTCGTGAGAATGTTCTCACATATCAGAGCGTATTCCTAACCCCATATCAAGCTCACACTGAAAATTCCCCTAAACCCAAAACGTCTCGCTAGATTTACCAGGCAAAAAGTACAATCTTGATACGAGGTGGCCTGATATGAGGACGTAGGAATACACTCTCAGGGTAAACCACCCTGAAACCCCCTGATTGTAGTGTATGTTGGTGCTGTTCCCAGCGTCATCAATTCATTGCTGTACATGCCCTGATTTTCTAGGCCATGAGTGTCCTGCCCCTTTTTTTTCCATATGCAACCATGTGCCACTACCCCAATTGCTGTAGTACTGTTGCATTGGAATGTCGAATCTCACATTACCGTAGCATATGCAAGTGACAGGGAAAAAGGAAAAACCCTAGGAGTTCAGGATGAAGCTGCTAAACGCCCTGAGACATGGTGGTCTTACCCCCCTTGCCTTGAGGGCTACACGTTTTCAGTAGGGTTTGCCCTGAGCGCAACACATTTAGTTTAAGGTTTTGCCCTTGGGGCTACACGAGGGTTTTCTTGAGGAGGTTTAGGGTGTGAGGGGCTGCTCTTGACCCTGTGGCAGGCACTAGCTGAGGTTCCAACCAACACCGCTGCATGTGAGCGGGGGTTCAGCAGACAAAACGCCTTTGAAGTGTTGCGAACGAGTCTGCGTGGCGAGGCTGGCACATTGATGGCACGGAGCAGAGCAGTATGTTGATGGCAAGAGTGCACTGCAGCATGGCACAGCATTGGGTGGCTGATGTGGTTGAGATTTGGTGCAGTGCACTCCTTGTCACGTACTGTTGCTGCTCCTGCTAATGCGGCTGCTGCCTCCGCTGCTGCTGCCGCAGAAGCTGTAGCCTGGTGTCGTCTCAGATGCTCAGGATTCAGGGTTTAGGGTTTGGACTTGTCAGCATGTCAGCTGCAATCGGCTGGTTTGGACTTGCAGGCACATTCTCTTGGACCCTCAAGTTGCAGCACCAGCAGCAGCAACACCAGCGCCAGCAGCAGCAACACCAGCGCCAGCAGCAGCAACACCAGCGCCAGCAGCAGCAACACCAGCGCCAGCAGCAGCACAGCAGTGACTGCAAGCGGGCACAATGGCGAGCACGGTAGGCTGCCAATGCAGCACTTGGTTCCCAGCTGGAAATCCCCTGGAAACGTTAGCCATGGGATGAGTACCGTCATCTGACGATCAGCATCATCCCCTGCCGGCCTCCAGGTCTCTAGCACCCAGCAGTGGCAACCGCAGCTGAGGCGCTGCTGCTGACGCTCTCACCATCAACCCGCCGCCTCCTCCTCCCACCCCTGATGCCAGTCCTATTCCTCTTGCCGCTGTCCTGCCTGCCACGGGGACGAAGGAGCGCTCTGCCTCGTCCCACGCCCATGCATGCATCACCCTGCCCCATGCATGCTTCACCACCGTCATGCCATCATCGCAGCACGCCACTCCGCCTGGTATGCACCCTGTCCTCCCTGTCCCCATCTCCTTACTACCACTGCTGCTCATGCTCGTACTCTCTCGGCTGCTGCTGACGAAGTTGCTCCCACTGGCGACCTTCCATCCACCGCCCCAACCACCGCCGCTGCTACCACCAGTGCAAGAATCACCCGTTCTGCCGCTGCTGCTGGTGCTACTGCGTGCGCATTGCGTGGCGCGGCCGTACATGGCCATGCCCAGCACGGCCAGCGACATGCCCAGCATGCTGTGCCGCGACAGCGGCGAGTGGAACAAGACGACGCCGATGCCTATAACGAGGACGGTCTTGACGTGGCCGAGCACCTGGTAGGTGGTGGCGGAGAAGCGGCCGATGCACAGATACACGCTCAGGTTGCACGCCACGGCCAGCAGCCCCGATAGCAGCAGGAAGAGCTGCGGGGAGGGGAAGGGACAAGGGGATGGAGACGGAGACAAGAGGAGGAGGATGAGGAGGACGTTGAAGGGGGCGGAGAGGCAAGTGTGTGCGCAGGCGTTGCAGGTGAGCAGGACAGCCGAAGAGATGGAAGCCGCACTTCGAGAAGCGCACTTTGAGAAGCGCACTTCGAAAAGCGCACTTCGAAAAGCGCACTTTGAGAAGCGCATTTTGAGAAGCGCATTTTGAGAAGCGCATTTTGAGAAGCGCATTTTGAAAAGCGCATGTTGAAAAGCGCATTTTGAGAAGCGCATTTTGAAAAGTGTTGGGTGGGAGGGCGAGCGGGCTTACGAGGGCGCCGGGGGAGAAGTTGAAGGAGAGCAGCGAGCGCGAGGTGAGGTAGAAGTCGAGCGGCGGGCCGATCAGCAGCAGCAGGAACGCCTGCAGGGGAGCAGTCTGACTCAGCAGGTCGAAAGATGACGTGGCGTAGTGGTCCTGCAACCAGCCAATAAGCTGCGAGCAATGGGTTATGGGGGGAGGGGGGAGGTGGGGAGTGCAGAGAAGAAAAAAGGGCGAGAGAGAGGGTGAGGCTGACGGACGGGCGAAGGCACGTTGACGGGAATGCGGAAGCGAGCGGCAGAAGGAGGAAGATAAGTTGGCGGAGATGACAACGACAACCGCGACGAGCACATCCCGCACGACGCACGTCGCACGTCGCACGTCGCACGGCACGTGTCGCAAGGGTCGCACGCACCATCATGTGCAGCGCGGAGCAGACGACGGCGAGGCTGGCGACGCAGAAGCCAACGACATTCAGCGTGATGTCGGCGTTGGTGCACAGCCCCACGCCCACCATCACCACCGCCATTGACGCCCACACGCCGCGCGCGATCTCGCGGCGCCACGCGAGCGACTCGAAGAGGCAGACGAGTGGGATGACGGCGACCTTGGAGATCTGATAGAACCCCACCGAGTTGAGCAGCAGACTGAAATTCGTCGCCACCAGACTCGCGTTCCCCAGCAGCGCGAACCCTAAGAGCACCCACAGAGGCAGCACCGCCGCCGCTGCTTCTCTTCCTCCTCCGCTACCGTCGCCACCGCCGTCGCCGCTGCCAGTTACGTTGCTGCCGCTCCTGCTGCTGCTTCTGCTGCTGACGCGGCTGCTGTTTCCGGCTAGAGCGGACGTGAGGAGGCCGACGATCGCGGTGACGGCGAAATGCAGACCCGTTAACGTCGACACTGCGACGCGCGACCGGGCAGGGATGAAAAGGAGTGAGTGGAACAATTAATTACACATGATCGATGCCTCTCATTTCAAGTCGCGACTACTCTCCAATCCCGCTATAATATTTGTAGTGACTATCTGCTTCTCGGTGAAGCCGCGAACTCGCAAAAGCTTCGGGTGAAGCATAATGGCGTGCTTACCGAAGGTGAAGCCGTAGGCGGACATGAGCTGCTTGTTCACCATAATGATGCCCACTGCACCGAGGATATTCATCGCCCATATGCCCGCTGACACCGTGTACGACGACGACGGCACGCACGACGACGCCGGCGACGATGGCGACAGCGGAGAGTCCTTGCGATCCATGGCTCTAATCGCCGAGAATTGGGAAAGGGGGGAAAAAGGGAGTGTGAGGGAATAATGCTATCCAGATATGCCAAGAATGTTTCTTTCTGTGTTGAGAACCAGTGCTCGTGCGTGGTGCGGCTGTCAGTCTTTACAATTCGCATGGGTCGCTAGCTCTGCAGGTAATTTGCGGCGTCACTAGCTGCGCATCACTGTAGTCGTCAGATAAGATTGCCAACGGGTGGAAACTGAGCAACATGCACAACGACGCCTTCTATGTATTTGGGTTGGGGACCAAATGGTGGGAGTTCGGCCGTTTGAGGAGAGGGAAGGGGAGGGAAGTGGGGCAGCGAACTGGGGCGAGGGACAGTGACTGGATTTGGTGGTTGTGGAGACCTCGATTTCGGGGAGGTGGGGGAGGAGCTTCAACGTGGTCCCGAACCGCCTTGTTGAGCACCGAACCGACAGAACCGAGGCGGTGCGCTAGGTTTCTAGCTGCCATGCTGGCGGTCTAGCGAAATAACCTCAAGGGATTGGTGCACATCAGCGGGGTGATGCACCGCCACGCATCGGCTTGCGAAATCGAGGAGAGACTTACCCGAGATAAGCAATTCGCGAACTACCATAGTTCGCACAAGAACGCAGTAGTGAGACTATGATTACGAAAGTTGTAGATACAATGAAAAGGCGGCAATTATAAGGGCGAATTTTAGGCGAGGACCAGGCCTCTGGTTAACAGGGTGAATCACCCTTATGACACTGACTATAAGGCTAGTTTTCATTATGCACCCTTTTTTTCAGAGTGGTTCATTTCTAGACCCTTACAAAAAAAAAATGCTTGGTTCTAGGACACTGATATTTCAGAGTTAAAGCAACATTATACATTTGAAAGTATTGTTAACTTTGGAACAGTACCCACCAAGAGCAACCCCTACGAAAACGAATGGTTCATTCGCGAGGAGGATGGGCGAAAATTTGGAGCGAGTAAAAAACACGAGAACCCCTCACGTCACCCAACTCGTGGTGTTGAGCCCACAGACTGTGAGAATAAGCAACTAATTCCTACCTAAGGGCCAGATACAACTATACTAATGGTGGCTAACAAGCGCAATTTTAGAGACATCCAGGGTTCAAACACCTTACTGTCTCACGGATAGACTACTTCACAGTCATCGTGAGAGAAGTTTCAATAGCCTCCGGCGACGCGCACCGCATTCCATGCGGTGCCCGCCGGAGACATTCTAGCCGAATCCGCAGCGCGCGACACCAGCTTAGCGCGTCGCGCCTAATACCCCGCTGCGCCACTCATATCTTAGCGCGGCACCTCGCGGCGCCTCACCGCATTGTTGAAACACTAAGCACCTAGGAAACTAGGCTTAGGTTTAGGAGCCATAGTTAGGAGTAGGGCCTAGGCTTAGTAGCCTAGGCCAAGGGGGTATCGAGTAGATTGTGCCAAGGGGGGAGTCGAGAGAATGGAATGATTTCACTACAGCAAACAAGGAACATATAGGCAAGAGAACAAGAACAAGAGGTGCACCACCTAACAGGCAAGATAACTACACTAGATTATGCTACAGGCAGTTAATACAAATATATATTATTTGACACACCCCCTAACTGCGTGCAGCAAATAACCATGTGCAGAAACACCCCCGGAAGGGGTACACCAAGCAGAGTAAAGCGGCAGTAGGCAAGACAGCAGAAAATGTACGGCAGCAAAGGGGCAGGCGACAGCAAGGCACTCCTGCCACCCCCTTACTCTCCTCCCCCCCCCCACCTCAGGAGGGGCGACAGGGAAGGAGAGGTGGAGGGACGGCTGCTGGTCGGTCTCACACCCGCCACCCCAGTGCCACTCCCCCGGCTCCCCCTCACCCTCACACCCTCCCCCCCAGCGGCAGCTGCAGCAATGGGAGCGAAAGGAGGAGGAGGGGGGGGAAGCACACTCCAAGCACCCCCACACCCTCCACGCGACGGGCGACGGGGGGGGGGGGGGAGGAAGGGCGGCAGAGCAGAACAGAGCGCACGAGGGCGCGGGCCGCGGGAGAGCGCACGAGGGCGCTGGCAGCGGCAGAACAGTAGCAGCAGTAGCAGCAGTAGAGTGCACGAGGGCGCGGGCCGCGGCAGAGCGCACGAGGGCGCGGGCAGCCGCAGTGCGCACAAGGGCGCGGGTCGCGGCAGAGCGCACGAGGGCGCTGGCGGCGGCAGTAACAGTAGCAGCAGTAGAGCGCACGAGGGCGCGGGTGAGACAGTGCGGCTGCACCACGGGCGGCTGCTCCAGGGGCCAGGGGCGGCTGCTGCAGGGTCCAGGGGCGGCTGCTCCAAGGGCAGCTCGCGCGGGTCCTGGGGCGGCGTCGCGGGCTGCTGCAGGGGCGGCTCGCGCGGGTCCTCGGCTGGAAACTGAGAGGAGAGAGGGGGGAAGGAGGGGGCTGGTGCTGCAAATCCTCTCCTGCCACCCCCTCGCCCTCCACTCTCCGTCACCCCCATCACTCGTCCCCCCACACTCCCTCGGCTCCCACCACACCCTCCCCCCTCAGCAGCAGCTGCAGCAGTGGGAGAGAGGCCACCCCCATACCCTCCCCCCAACTGCCGCACGCGCAGCAGGGAGATGAAGGGGAAGGGGGGGGGGCGGGGGGGCGGGGTAGGAGGTGCGCGAGCGACAGCAGGGCGCGCTGGCGGGCAGAACCCGCTCCCTCCACCCCCATACCCTCCCCCCCACTGCCGCACGCGCAGCAGGGAGATGAAGGGGAAGGGGGGGGCGGGGTAGGAGGTGCGTGGGCGACAGCAGGGCTCGTGACGGGCAGAAACCGTCGCACGCCCGGGGCGCGCGACGGGCAGAAACCGTCGCACGCCCGGGGCGCGCGACGGGCAGAGAACCGTCGCACGCCAGGGGCGCGTGACGGGCAGGAAACCGTCGCGCGTCCGGGGCGCGCGACGGGGACGAAATCGCCGCACGCCCGGGGCGCGCGACGAGCAGAAAATCGACGCGCGCCCGGGGCGCGCGACGGGCAGAAAACCGACGGGAGGAAAATCGACAGGCAGAAAAAAAAAAACGGGCAGAGGGGCCCATGAGCGGAAGCGTAGTAGGCAGAGGATCGTACAGCTCTAATACCATGTTGAAACACTAAGCACCTAGGAAACTAGGCTTAGGTTTAGGAGCCATAGTTAGGAGTAGGGCCTAGGCTTAGTAGCCTAGGCCAAGGGGGTATCGAGTAGATTGTGCCAAGGGGGGAGTCGAGAGAATGGAATGATTGTCAGAATATTATGCTCTAGCCTGTAGTGGGGTGCTCTATAGCGAGTACAACTCTTCTAGGGTTTTGCTATTTGTATCCCCATTCTTGCTAGTGCAATCCTCTTCTTTCTTCTAAACTTTAACATGCTATCAGAGCAGGTCGATCCCCTTGGATCGATCCTGTGGGTGGGCTCACCACCTTGTTGCTTCCGCTGCAACTGCTACTGCTACTCTCTGTGCCGCACGCCCCGTGGCGTGCGGCAGTTTTTCTTCCCGCCGTGCGCCCCGAGGCGCGCGGCGGTTTTCTGCCCGCCGTGCGCCCCGAGGCGCGCGGCGGTTTTCTGCCCGCCGTGCGCCCCGAGGCGCGCGACGGGTTTCTGCCCCGTCACTCGCCGCGTCGCCCCCGGGAGGCGCTGCGACGGGCGACGGGGACCCGTCGCGCCGCCCAGGGGAGCCGCGCGCGGCCCCTGCTGCCCCGTCGCGCGGCCCTGCTGCCCCGTCGCGCTGCCCAGGGGAGCCGCGCGCGGCCCCTGCTGCCCCGTCGCGCGGCCCTGCTGCCCCGTCGCGCTGCCCAGGGGAGCCGTGCGCGGCCCCTGCTGCCCCGTCCCGGACCTGCCCCGGCCCCGACCTGCCCCGGCCCCGACCTGCCCCGGCCCAACTCCCGTCGCCCGTCGCGGCGCCCTGGGGGGGGTCTACAGGGGGCCGCGCGTTGCCCCCCCCCCCCCTACCTCCCTACCCTGTTTTTAGGGTTTGGGGGGTGGCGGTTGGGGGGTGGCGGTTGGGGGGTGGCGGGTGTGTGGCGTCGCCTGCTCCTCCTCCTCCTTTGTCTCCCACTGCTGCAGCTATCGCTGAGGGGGGTGGATGTGTGGGAGTGTACGGAGTGGTGCTAGGGGGGTGGAGTGTGAGTAGAGCTAGGGTTTGAACAGGGGGTGTGTGAAATGGGGGTGGGACAGTTGGGGGAGGTTGAATGGAGGCGGTCGTCGTGTCGTCAGCAGCAGCAGCAGTCCGGAGGCTACAATCTCCGGTAGTCGCCAGTCGCCCGTGGGTCCGTTGCTCGTCTGCCGCTACTTTTAGCCGCGGGGCCAGTTACCCCAGTAGTCCGGAGCGCTGTTCCGGTAGCCACTGAGCCAGCAGCTCGTCTGTGTGTCTGCAGCGTCAGCAGTCGCCTCCCATCTTCTCTCCCCCACAGTCTCTCCTCCTCCTCACTTGCCCTCTGTGATAGCCTCTAGCTTTGCTTATATTTGTTAACTATAAAACTGCTACCTCTTGTACTTGTGCTCAGAATGTGTGGTGACATTGTGATCCACCCTGAGCTTGTTTTCTTTTGCTTGCTCTGCTGATTACACCCCACTTTGGCTATGGGGGTGTGTCAGAATATTATGCTCTAGCCTGTAGTGGGGTGCTCTATAGCGAGTACAACTCTTCTAGGGTTTTGCTATT